ATCGCCTCCAGCAGAACTTCTTCAGCGTGCACGAATTATCCGCTGGACTCATTTAATGTGTCCGGGAAACGGTTGCCGTGAGCCGAAGCTCCACAAAGATTTCCTCGACCAATTATTCTTCTTTGAGACAATTTAGAAACACGCTGACTGATGAGACCCGACCACTTAACTTGAAGCATTGCAGAGCCGACCTCCATCCTCTCCATAACAGGCTTTTTCATTCCCCCTCTCCTTGCTGTGCTGCGCCGTCTTAATTATTCTCAGATCGGTGACAGCAATTATCTCAAACACTCGATCCTTTTCCTTCCAAACGGCTGAAAAATACACACACGGTAAAAGATTTGATTAGCTTCGGGTTCGTTTTGACCCTTTTATGTTCGGCTCGATTCCAATATGCCAAAAAAATATGTTTCTCTCTCTTTGGTTTTTTGGTCTTTGCTATAAAGAAGTGCATCGGCATTCAATTTGCAGACAGCGAACACCTACTTAGACTTAATGACTGTCTGCTCAAAACAAATAAAACTCTGTTATATGGATGAGGGCAGCGCCGGAATCTGGCTCAAAGAGATCCTCCTAGACTACAGGAGATCAGTAATAAAACTAACAAACCAGAGCTGTTTACAACATATAATTTAGAGCAGAAGAGGCCGACGGAGGAAGAATATCATTAAATCTGACCTCTCCAAATGTCTGACTTTGTAGGATGAATAAAACATCACGGTTTGAATTCAGGTGTTTTGCTTTATTCCCATAGAGAGACCTTCAGTGAACGGCTGTAAACAGAGGTCATCAATCTGTGACAAACGCTGGTTTTCAGGGAATAGTCAGGAATGTTCTGGTAAAAGAGGACATTTGGTCACCCTAGCTTGAAGGGACATTCCAGCGTAAAATTAATTTAGGGTCATACCGTGACGCTGAGCGAGACACCTCCAGAGATGAATGTTGTCGACCGCTTGCTTCTCTAGTTATACCAACTTTAGTAACGACCGCAGGATAGTAATACACAGCTGTCTGAGGAGCCATAAACAACCTCAACAGAAACAGACTACAGCGGGGTGCCGCAGCTCAAGGAAGAAAATTTATGATCATTTCTTCATTAAAATACAATCAGACCGAGACACTAAGACAGAAGAACTACCGCGTCTGTAAAATGATTAATATGGTGATTATTACTTCAAGGAAATGATAAAGAAATGATCATAAATGTTCTTCCTTGAGCTGCGGCACCCCGCTGTAGTCTGTAATGGACTGGCCTGAGGTCTCACTACAAACAAGCAGCTGCTGGAAGAGAGTAGGTGAGTTGTGTTTAGTCTCTTTGCTAAAGAAATGAGTCAAAGTTAAAAAGATGTTTGGTGTCTAGTACTATGTCTGTGACCCTATATGTCCTGTTGATGAAGTTAGGTGCTGTTCTGAGCATTATTTGTGGCTATAGAGTGGCGTTTTGGTTGGGGGCGTGGCTCTCTGTATTGCTGTCCTGCGGTCATTACTAAAGTTGGTATAACTAGAGAAGCAAGCGGTCGACAACATTCATCTCTCGAGGGGGGGGTCTAACTCGGTGTCGTTAATTTAACGCCGGAATATCCCTTTAATAAAACCAGGATTTTTGTTTTTTCAAAGCACTGGAGTTTTAGCTTCCCCTCAAACTCGGCTGCAGATGAAATTTTCCTTATGTGTTAATTAAAAAGAACTCTGTTGCGCCCGCTCACTCAATCACACGTGTCACACTTTGATAACGGGGAATCGAACACGTAAACAGCCGCTCTAATTATGTCCTGTGACATTTGTTATCTCATTAGAGATTCATCGCCGCATGGACACAAACGGTTGTTGAGCATTAATTAAGCTTTGGACATGACTGAAGATGTTTACATGATTGTTAAAGAGCTGCTGCATTAATATTCATGTTTCCAAGAGTCACCTCATTGTGGTACAACAACACAGAAACCACAGGATGTGACCCCCCCATAAGTCTTGTATCGTTCACACATCCATCGCCTCTGCACACAGTTCTGGTTTTTCAGTGAAGTCCTCTTTCTTGCTCTGGGTTTAGGGGTTTAAAATTTATAAGTTTGCATCATTTTCAGCACAACTGCATAAGAACTGTGAATGAGAACAGCCTAAATAATTCAACCAACCGTCTTGCATAAACAAACTTAGTGTGACTCGGAAAACAGAACCAATGCTGGTTTGTTTGCAAACTTCATCATTAAGCATAAAAAATAACCAAGAAAAGCTGCTCACACTCTGCAGAGAAGACGACACAAACAAGGAGGGATATCACCTCAAACTGCACATAAAGAAATGAAAATAAAGCTGTTTTTAAAATGTTGTGTAGGTCTGTGCAGTTTGCTCCAGTGTTGTGTCTTATTGTGACCGCCGGCATCACGTCCTCCACAGTCCACTCACATGATCAGCTGTTTATTTAAAGTCATTTTGAGGTAAATGTGACACAAATTTTACATTTTGTGTCAAGTGGGAACAAAATTAACTCGAGACAGCTTCTTTAAAGTTCGGTTCTGTTGCTGCGCTCCAGTTACCTCAGAATGGAATGACGTCACACCCGAGTTGACAGCGTTCCAGTGAACAAGTCCGAAAACCAAGATGGACGCCTACTGTTAACTGTTGTTTGCTGTTGTTAGCTGTTGTCAGCTGATGTCAGCTGTTGTTAGCTGATGTTAGCCGTTGTTAGCGTTGTTAGCTGATGTTAGCCGTTGTTAGCTGATGTTAGCATAGTCATCGTTAGTTGATGTTAGCTTTTGTCAGCTGTCTTCAGACATTGTTAGCTGTTTTTAGCTGTTGTTAGCTGATGTTAGCCGTTGTGAGCTGTTGTTAGCTGATGTTAGCCGTTGTTAGCTGTTGTTAGCTGATGTTAGCCGTTGTTAGCTGATGTTAGCCGTTGTTAGCTGTTGTTAGCTGATGTTAGCCGTTCTTAGTTGATGTTAGCATAGTCATCGTTAGTTGATGTTAGCTGATGTTAGCTTTTGTCAGCTGTCTTCAGACATTGTTAGCTGTTTTTAGCTGTTGTTAGCTGATGTTAGCCGTTGTGAGCTGTTGTTAGCTGTTGTTAGCTGTTGTTAGCTGATGTTAGCCGTTGTTAGCTGATGTTAGCCGTTGTTAGCTGTTGTTAGCTGATGTTAGCCGTGCTTAGCTGATGTTAGCATAGTCATCGTTAGTTGATGTTAGCTGATGTTAGCTTTTGTCAGCTGTCTTCAGACATTGTTAGCTGTTTTTAGCTGTTGTTAGCTGATTTTAGCCGTTGTTAGCTATACCAGTTGTAACCAACACCTAACACAGTATTTTACTCGTATAAACACCACAGCACCGTGTTCATAGTTAGACGTTGGGCAGTTCAACATAAACCACTTATTTAATTTCACAAAAACAAAACAGAAGTGCTAGTAAATAAAACATTACGAGAGATTTCACTGTTACTATTTACTGTTGAGGCACTGTGCTGCCATCCTGGATGATGACGTTGTCGTCAAGTCGGGGTTGGTGATGATCGTTTAACTTTCTGAGTCAGAAATCAGACTTCAGGGGGGCGTTCCAGATGAATTTCCGTATAAGAGCTCGGAAATTCCAACTTCCGAGTACAACTGAAAGCAGCATAAGTTATAACAAGTTATACAAGTTCTGACTCTCGCCATTATTTGTCCTCTTTTTCTTCCTCCTTATCGTTTTGTCCAGAAATTAAAGTGCTGGAGGACCGTTTTGCCATTTCTGGTCATGCTGTTCTTAATGAAACAGGAAGCCGTATAAAAATGAGAATAAAGATGATTACATACTCCGACTGTGTAATGAGAAATCCGGGGAAAAGATCGAAATAGGAAGAAAAAGAAAGATACCCTGTAGTTTGTACCCATGCTCCATTTTTAGGCTCACATTAAATGGTTACAGTCATTATATTTGATTATATTTGCGATTCCTCATGGCGTTTTCTCGCTCTGTGACAGCTGTAACCATTATTCATATCTTTACATATTCTTTGTCTCCCTCTGGGATCAATTATTTTAATCAGAGTCCCTTTAAAAGTCTCCAGTAATGGAGGGTTTTCAACTTGAGTCAAACAGGAGGATGTAAAGATTTATAACCATAGCGTCAAACAAATAATCGGTATTCAAGGACACAGAGGCGGCCATAAGAAGCTGGAACAGCTGGAATCTGCCATCTGGTGCATCATGGGAGCCGATCTCCTCGCTGTCAGAAGACGGATTAAACATCTTTTCCCATTCGTCTTTGTTTCGTACAGCAGGTGCCCAAAAAACGTCAAGAGCAGATAAACCAGCCGAGCCCATGTGACAGGCTCCACGAGGTCCACAATCTGTGCCTTAAAAAAGGGGGCCACTTAATCCTGGTCTCCACCTGAGCAGCTGTTCCATGAATGGACAGCTTTAAGGTGTAAATACTGAACTTCCCCTGCAGGGTTTAAATTCAGGTCATGTGCTCCTGGACCGACGCTTTCATTAACCCTCAAGGTCCCGGAGCGGAGCACCTGTGAGCAACTTCGCCAAAACATACAGCCTTGAAAATGCAGGTCTAAAAACCAGAGCTGGAATAATGCCTGCAAAATGACCTCAAAACAAATCCCTCTCAGCTTGAATGACAATCACTCTCCACAATTTCTGTTCTCTTTAAAATCCGCCGCTCCCTCCCACCTCCCTGCAGGATCCACCTGCAGGCTGCTGCTGCTGCTGGAGTGAATTTTATATGGGTGCGTAGATGAGATATTACCCCATCACTCCTTTTATTCCTGCATGTAAAACACCTGCGAGGGATGGTGAGACGAGGACCATAAACAATGTTCTGCAGCTGCAATAAAGATTTAAGTCACTGCGATTAACAAACAAAGAGTTTAGGTTTTGACAGCGACTTAAAGGTGGGGTCAGCAGGAATCCGTTAAAGAAGAATCTTTTTTTGAGGTTTATATACAAAACAGCTTTTAATATCAGTCAATAGTTATTAGTTATTGATGACATTTGGGAGTATAACAGTCCGCTCTCTCTGCTCTTTCTGACTGTAAACAAAGCCGTTCTCCACCTCCTCTAACCTGATTGGTTGTGAGGCAGACGCTGCTCCCCCGTGTCGTTCAGGAGCCCAAACAAAGTTAGCGTGCTACGATATCGGACAGTAGAAACCAACCAGAAAGTTCGGAAAATTGTCTGAATCCTCCTTTGGCCACGACTGCCGACACAAGCAAGAAAACAAAGTAAATACCGGAGACTCTGGAGGAATAACGGGCGCTTAAAACGGAGGTAGACCGGACAAGAGCTAAAAAGCCGGGTCAACATAAACGATGGGGGACGCTTGGGGATCTTGGTGACCCTGTAACCTTTCTGCTGGACAGGTAAACTGCTTTAACAAAGTAAGACAAGTGTCTGTAACAGAAGTGTTTCTTGTCAAACGGACCTGCTGTAGCGTGTTGTAGCGCCATCGCTAAACTGTCCTCCCTCGGGTCCTGGACTATGTCACTTTATCCTAGTTGTAGAAGTCCTGCAAACATTGTGTTTGCTGGTAGTCTGTTGGCATCTACAGTAGCACCAATGCTTTTGACTTTCACCTTGACTGGGCCCCATTTGTAATGATCTGAAGTATTTATCTGCATTATATCTGAATTTAATTGGAACGATACGAGCGAGCAGGAGCGTCTGTTTGTGGGCGGGGCTTGAGAGGAGCAGAGAGGGAGGGGAAAACTGGTTGGGAGGGGTAGAGTTTACATTCAAGATTTCTCCTAAAAACTGGAACTAACTCAGATCCTGCCTCGTCCAGCTTTAAAGTGGAGGCTTCATGCCTGAAAATGTTGATGAATTTCTTCATTATATCAGTAATTTAAACACGTCTGTTCCTCTGAGATCTGATTCCTCCAGCTGTACAGATGGCTGCTCTCCTATATGAATTTAATTGAGACGTTTTAGTCAAAATGAGCAAGAAGAGAAGGGATCTGCTCTCTAAACACCGACCGTGAAATCAGTTCATCGATCATTTTAAACCGAGTAATCAGTCAGAAATAACTGAATCAGGACTTTTCTGTTTCTTTACTTTTAAGGGGCAGCAGCAGCAGCGGTGATATTAGAGAGGAAGAGGAGCGAAGTGTGGGCACTGAGGGCTGACCAAAGAGAGGGAGGAAGGGAGGAGAGGTGGAGATGAAGGAGGAAGAGTTTGACAGGGCTGACAGGTGCTGAGACTGAAGTTTGTCACAGGAGGGACGGGAGGAAGGAAGAGGGAGTGATGCAAAGAGATGAAAGGAGGAAGGAGGGAGGGAGCGAGGAGAAAGGGACTGAGACGGATGGCGAGAGGAAGCGATTCAACAAAATGACAAAGTCTAGACTGAAAGATTCACAAACTTTTAAAACCATCTGAGTTTAAAGAGCTGCATGTATTTAGTATCACATGTCGACTCCTCCTCCAACAAAACCTGCAGAGATCATACTCTAAAGACTTCGCACTGCGACCAACATCACACAAAAACAAATCCACAGACGCAGGAGGACGTAAACTGAGACAATCTCAGCGTCTGAATAACAATTAGTATTTTTTCAAAGTGCACTTCACAGAGATCGTTTGTTTCTGCTCATGTAAAGCCTCCTGATGGAAATGTGGATCATTATGCCGCCTTTGTAGAGCAGATGTCTGAGTCTATAAGCACTTATGCATCCCCATACTGTCACAGATGCTGGCTTTTGTGTCGGTAACAAGAAGCCAGATGATGCCTCTGTGGGGGACGCAGAGTCCACGACATCCAAGACGAGTGTCAGACGTTTTGGATCATGATTATGTTTGGTTTCCTTTTCACCTGCAGCCACAAACAGAGATTCTGGAAGTGATTTCGAGACCATGCGGCAATTTCCACTACAGAGACATGTCTGTTTTTAATGCAGCGCTGCCTTTAGGCTTAAAGATCACCACATTTCAGCACAGTTTGCATTTCATTTGAGTTTTTGTAAATAATGATTTCATATTTTAGCTCTATAAGTCACGGTCGCTATATTAAATGTAGTTAACTGACTAATTTTGTCTTTAAATCGCATAATACTGATAAAAATGTTTTAAAACTACCTTTCACCAAGGATACTGTGTCAGGTATTAATGTCTCAGTTACAGAAATGAGATTTCTTTATCATTTCCTTGAAGTAATAATCATCATATTAATCATTTTACAGACGCGGTAGTTCTTCTGTCTTAGCGTCTCGGTCTGATTGTATTTCCATGAAGAAATGATCATAAATGTTCTTCCTTGAGCTGTGGCACCCCGCTGTAGTCCGTAATGGACTGTCCTGAGGTCTCGCTACAAACAAGCGGCTGCTGAAAGAGAGTAGGTGAGTTGTGTTTAGTCTAACTCGGTGTTACGGTTAGTTTGACCCTAACTTAATCTTACGGAATATCCCTTTAAAGACCACCAAAATCCAGCACGTTTTTTTTTTCATATCTTCCTTTTTTTCTCCAGATTTGCAGAATCTTTTAAAGATATCATCATACACCCTTAAATTGTTTGCGTTTTTAACATTAGTCTGAAATCAGGGAGCCTTTTTTATGCCAAGTTGCAAATTAGCTGAAAGATGTTCCTCCAGGTGATTTTTGTGTCAGAGTTTCAAAGCATTTAATGACAGAATTAAACGTCTTATCACTGCAGATAAATCAAAGTGTGTTGGGAACGAGTCAGGAGAGATTTAATTATAAAAGTCGAGAAGAAGGAAATGAGGAGAGGGGGGAGATTTAGCATTAAAAAGGTGAAATAATGAGAGGAAGCCAAAAATAAAGTTATGAAAGTTTTGAATTTTCACCCTGGAAGTCGTTTCAGTCTCACCCACAGAGACGGTCTCGTTAAAACATATCAGGACCAGGACACAGATGGAGCATGTGGGGTCTCCAGGCCTCAGAGCCAGGCTCATTAAACACACAGACACTCTGTGAGAGGAGGGAGAGGGGCAGCGGTCCAGGACGAGCCGAGCCGCACACACTCCAGGTGGAAATGCTAACTCCCACTGGCAGACCGAGATAAGAGCGGACAGGTGGCGGAGATGGAGGGTTGGAGACCGCGGACCGCCGGGCGGAGAGAACAAATATGACCAAGAGAGTGTAAATATGAGACAGAAACCATTTAACTCCTGTTGGAGAGGTCACTGCCAGCACGGTGACTGAAAATCCATCAAATACCAGAGGACACTGATGGGTAGGAAGAGGGTTTCATCTTTTGAGCGGTGCACATTATCTTTTCATCCACTTCATCCTCGTTTTTCCCCCCGACAGCTTCTAAATATTTACCCCTAAAGTAAAAGCCGCGTTTCGTTATTTGCTGTGATTTATTTCCGCCGTTTGTTCCCGAGAAGAAAACTGGATTTATTGAGTCTGAGAGCTTCTCGACTGCCAGCATAACTTTCATAAACTTTTAATTAAACTGTTCCCCAGTACATTTATCAGCGCCTGTTTCACACCTTCAACTTTAAATTAGATCTGCGGTTTAAATGGCTTTTTTTGGATGAGATATAAACGGTGATTCCTCTCAGGAGACACATGTTTACTGATGCACAAATCTGAGACAAACTTCAGAGATGGATCTGACTTTGCGGCTGTTTATCTAAGACTCTAGCAGCCTTGGAAACAACAGATGTTCTCCTCTGCAGCAAAACGAAGGATGGAAATATTTATCCTGTTGTTACTCGTCTATATGAATAAAGTTCAGAGTTTGAATCAGCAGAGAAATTACAGAGAAGGTCATTAAGATGAAATAATCATGAATAAATGAGAACATTTGGAGTCATCACTTTCTTGGAGGACTTGTTAAGCAGCTCTGCCTCACCAAACAAATGTTATTAGTTTAAATAAACTCTTAATGAAAATGAAGCAAACATCATAATTATGTACATACTCAGTGTCACAGCGGAGCTAACAGGGGACGTAGTGAAATGAAGAGATAATACCGGGCAGGCCGAACAAACAGAACCTAATCAGCATCTGTACTTCTGCCAAAGCTGCACAGTGATTATTAAAACCAGAACAAAGCACCGCAGAGCGATAACGGGCTGAGGAAGGTTTCTCTATCATCCTACACCGCAGGCAAAAAACAGCATTAAAACATCAACGACTGGCATGAAACAGTCGATACTAACATGATACTCGTCAACTAAAGGTTTAATCATCTCCCTGACAACCCTCATAAACAAATAAATAAATAAACAAACTAACTAACTAACTAACAAACAAATATCTCAAAACCGCTGAGGTTAATCTGCAGCATCTGTAGTATCATGACTGGGAATAAAAAGGACATTCAGAGGTTAACCACTGTGTGAGAGACTGCGTGAGCAAACAGTTCAACAGTCAGAGATTTAACAGGTTTCATCATGTCGTCAAACTATCACTGAAAGAATCAGAGATCAATCAGAAATATCTGATAAAAGGGACCAGGACTAAAACCAAGACTGGATGGATGTTGTCTCCTGACTTTAACCTCCAATTTCCACCTTCATCCTGATGGTCTCCTAAAAGGTCGTATCCTCCGATCGTAGCTGATCGTAACCATTCAAGTTAACGTGTCAATTTACACCGACTTCTTTCCGTTCCTCTGAGGATCGCCGGACTCCTCAGCTGATCACAAGAGTTCTATTTTTTCTGGACGCCGGAGCATGGCGGATAAATTCAGCACAGATTAACCCGTGCTGGAAAGGAAGTCGGGCACAGACACAAAATAAAACATCCGGCTTCTTTTCAAAATAAAACACTCTGTGTATCAGGCTGATTGTAAGTCGATTGTTTTTAGATCAAATCAAGTCTCCTGTTTCTCACTTCGGTGTGTTAAAACATCATTACTTCAGCTTCCATCTAAAGAACTTGGTTGTAGCTTCCGTCTCTTTAAGGCCCCCTGTCTTCTGATTGGCCACTTTGAACTAGTCAGGACCGCCCATTAGTTTAATGAGTCAGACCTCACTTTAAGCAGTTTACACCTACAGTATATTGTCAGATTATAACAACATATGTTTATTTTGTGGTTTAAAAATTTACATACATCTAGTTTGGACACCAAATATCGTAACTTTGCATTTTTTCCAATGAAAGATCTTCATATTTTAATGAGTCAAGGCATTTCTATCTTAACTTTAGACCCGTTTCATTACAGGAAATAGTGAAATGTTGTTCTTTATCATTATTTGCACATTTGGATTCAGGGTTGGATTATTCGGACACACCCTGGCTGTGTTTCCTTGTTTCTGCTCGTGAAAAAAGACATGATATGATGGTACTTGGGTTCACATAATTCCTCCTGTAATGGATTTAATCTGTTCATATCTGGGCAGCCGCTGGGCAGAAGATTGTATTATAGCTCGGGTCATTAACGTGGATCTTCATTCATAAACACACTCATCAGTCCTCTGTCATCACAGTGATGGCTTTAGACAAGCCACTTCTTCTTGATTTGTGCAACACTATCACCAGAGATTCAGACACACATCAGTGCCTGAGATTGAGATGTCAGGAAATAGACTTGGAAATAATCGGAAAATGGGAAAATAGGATTAGCAGAATCTTTGATGTCATAATTACTCTGCATTCAATCTCTTTTGTCAGGGATACAGCTGCTGCATGAATGCAAAGCAGAGATCAGACAGGCAACAGGAAGATTAACACACACACACACACACACACACACACACACACACACACACACACACACACACACACACACAGTAGTCCCTCCCTTCCTCCTCCACCCACGCACAGAAGCAGAAATGGTTTCTCAGATAATTCTCCCATTAAGTCCATCTCCAGTCACAGACACACTGTGGTGCCTGTAATGTCTCCTGAGGATCTAAAGCCACAGGCCGGTCACCACTAATCAGGAATGAATTATTCACTCCATCAGGTGGTTACCATCCATCACACAACCCCCTATTTAATAAAAACCATCGCTGTGACATTTACATCTCTTCTTTAATGACACTGAAGCCCCGACGCTTCGGTCTTTCCTTGAAGTCACATGTGACGCACACTGAGTATGACAATGTTTCCTGTTTATTACGAATACATGTCAAATAAAGACAAACAAGCTGAAGGGACCGATGTTAAAGGGAAACAATTATAAAATACAGAAGTACTTTTGATTGAGTCAAGAAGAGTCCAGAAGAAATCTGCGTAAGAAGTCTAAACGGGGCAGAAGTTGATTCAGGTTTTTATTGATCTAAATCACTCTCATCAAATATTTGTGGGTCCCAGCTGATGGGCAGCAAATATTCAAGGACTTTTTTTCTCTCTTAAATGTCGACTAAAAAGGCTTCTTACCCTTCCTCTAGACCCCAACCAGGAGAAGGTAGAGCGTACAGTTCTAGACCAAACAGACAACAGACCCTGGCTGTCTTCCCTTTCCTCTCTTGAAAGTCTGCTTGAAGACTTGTTCTCATGTTGGTCTCCTATCTTCCATCACTAAAAATCGAGGAAGGTAGAGCGTACAGTCTGACCCAGCTGCAATGAGCCCTAGCCCTCAATTTCCACCACATCGAGAAGGCAGTATCCGCCAATCGTAGCTGATCGTAACCATTCAAGTTCATGTGTCAATTTCCACAGGCTTCTTTAAGTTCTGCTGCGGATCGCTGGACTTGATCTCATGTTGGTCTTCTCTCTTCCATCCCTAAAAATCGAGGAATGTCGAGCATACAGTCTGACCCAGCTGCGATGAACTCTTGCTTCAACAGACTTCTACCCTTGTTTTGCTCTTCCCTGTCCTTTCTCAAAAGTCTTCCTGCAAACCCCAATCAGGGGAAGGTAGAGCGTCCTGTTCTAGTCCAAACAGACAAACAGACTCGCCATGGCTAAGTCTTCCCTTTCTTCTCACAGAGACTTGTTCTCTTGTAAGTCTCCTCTCCTCCATCCTTAAAAATTGAGGTAGCGGTAGAGCGTACAGTCTGACCCAGCTGCAATGAACTCTTGCCTAAACAGACTTCTTTCCTGTTGTCTCTTGAAGTCTTCCTGTAAACTCTTTTTCTGTTCGCCCCCCTCGTCTTCCAAAAAAATGAAGAAGTGGGGGAGGTAGAGCGTACAACCTAAACAACCTAAGCTGGGATGAGTTAAAGCCCAAACGGACTTCCTGTCCTGGCTATGTCGTGCTTGTCCTCTCATTTCCTCTCTTCCTTTTATAAAAGAGAGTCTGGGGAGGTCGAGCGTACAGCCTGACCCGGCTATGAAAGGAATTCTCGTTGTAGTTCAGGCCTGATGTGACCAAACATGGACTTTAAAGTCTTGTCAAAGGTAACAGTACAAAGCGATCTCAGCTTACTTGCTTGATTAACAAAAACATACAAAATCAGCGTCATCCATCATGATGAAAAATCACAGAAAATGTCAGCAGACACATTAACAAACTCATTAGACTGACTGATCGTCTGAAGATGCTGATTTCAGACACTCTCTATTTGGAGTCCCTTTATAAAATACAAGTTATTTCTCTGAGTACTGCTGTTGTGTGTAACCTTTACCTAATGAGCTTTGGGCCTTTGAGACTGACAAGTTTCACCAGAGACAACAACGAAGAAACAAAACGTTTAAGTGAGAAATGTCAGATAATTAAAAGAGAGCGTCTTCTGACCTCTGACCTACCAAAGCTGCTCTGATTTCGGTCTGATTACTGATCATATCTTTAACAGATATATTTAATATGCTGATCAGCTGCACATTTAAAAAACACGACCACACGCCTGCTGCAGTTTTCTTTATCAAAAGCAGAGAAATGATGATGGAGGGTCTTTTCGCAGAGCCGATGATGATTTGTTGGCAGCTGCAGGTGTGGCGGCGTGGAGAATGTATTTGTGTCGCTTACTATTCAGCGGGTGAAGAGCCACATTTCTTTGTGATGTATAATAACTTCAAACCCGGGGTGTGAAAAATGAATGAAACAAGCTGCACATCATCTGCACATTGAATCCATAATGAGGTTCGAAAAATCGGCACAGTGGCTATTATCCAGCTGCTGCCGCTCAGGGGTCACATGAGAGCAGAGCTGAAAGATACTCGACAGCTTTGTGAGGAGGTTTTCGAGTCTATATTTGTGACTCTTTATGCGTAAAAAACTATTCATTGACATCAATGTGTTTTATAGATACTGTTTTATTTCATTCCAGGCCCATGTATCTGGTTCTGGCATTAGATTAAATTATTTTTGCATTATTGTTATTATTTAGTATTTCAGAGGTTTGTCGTATTTGTCTTTGCCCATCATAATAGATTCACACCTGAGGCATCGACAGGCATGTCAGAGATGGTGGATATCAAGCATTCAGGAGTAAGGGCTGCAGAGGAAAAACACATGAGGTTCACCAAATGCAAGACGTCTCTCTGCATCATAAAAAGGAAAACCTGCTTCTAGGAATTTTCACCGCGAAAATATCCAGAAGAAGAAACACAGAGCGACTACAGGTTAGATTCCCATTGAAGCTTTTTAATAGATTTTCAAATGCAAAATGTAAAAGTCAAAGGTGGGGTCGACAGGAATCTGTTAAAGAAGCATCTTTATTGTGGTGTATTTACAAAAAATCTTTTAATATCAGTCAATAGGTATCAGTTATTGATGACATTTGGTTATATAACAATATCTCTGTGTTCTCTTATGTCTGTGTCGTCAACATTTGAACATTTTTGAGTGGTTCTCCACCTCCCCGACCTGATTGGTCATGAGGCAGACGCTGCTCCCCCGTGTCGTTCAGGAGCCCAAACAAAGTTAGCGTGCTACAATATCGGACAGTAGAAACCAACCAGGAAGTTCGGAAAATTGTCTGAATCCTCCTTTGGCCACGACTGCCGACACAAGCAAGAAAACGACGTAAATACCAGAGACTCTGGAGGAATAACGGGCGCTTAAAACGGAGGTAGACCGGACAAGAGCTAAAAAGACGGGTCAACATAAACCATGGGGGACGCTTGGGGATCTTGGTGACCCTGTAACCTTTCTGCTGGACAGGTAAACCGCTTTAACAAAGTAAGACAAGTGTCTGTAACAGAAGTGTTTCTTGTCAAACGGACCTGCTGTAGCGTGTTGTAGCGCCATCGCTAAACTGTCCTCCCTCGGGTCCTGGACTATGTCACTTTATCCTAGTTGTAGAAGTCCTGCAAACATTGTGTTTGCTGGTAGTCTGTTGGCATCTACAGTAGCACCAATGCTTTTGACTTTCACCTTGACTGGGCCCCATTTGTAATGATCTGAAGTATTTATCTGCATTATATCTGAATTTAATTGGAACGATACGAGCGAGCAGGAGCGTCTGTTTGTGGGTTGTGGGTAGCATATACATTCAAGATTTCTCCTAAAAACTGGAACTTCCTCAGATCCTGACTACAACACCTTTAAAGAGTGCACACTAAGAATCTCCAGCTGAACGAACTCAAACTTTCTAAGACTTCCACTTGATCTGGACCCATAAATAACTTGCACTTCTTACGAAAACATCCTCCAAAGTCCGTTACCCCTAATTTAATGAAATGGTCCAGTTTATTTTTTGTCGTACTGTTAAATGATTTGTGTAAATTTTGCTTAACTTCATGTGTGTCTTGTAGCTGAACTCCTCCCAACCCTTGAGAGACTTCAGAAACAAACTAGAACATCATCAGCATATAAAGAGACCATTTTCATGCACAAACAGTCGGCGTCTCTTGTTTTCATGTTGAACTAAACTGCAGGATGATTCAGAGTTGTGCTTTGTTGTGATTTGTGGAAGTTTCCTCTGAATATTTGTTTTTTCATCAGAAACCTCAAAGTCTGACAGGAGACTGACAGGGGCTCTGCTGGGTCTAACATGAGGTTTCTTTGGGTTTTCATACGAGCAGCTGTCAATCCTGGGACTCCTCTAAGAACTGAAACCCTTTTCTCTCTCTCTCTCTCTCTCTCTGTGTTTATTGACGGTTCCTCTGACCTCATTTGTTGTGGTACTCGTCTGATCTCTCAGTCTCTCGGCGCTCCTGAAGGAATATTAAATGGAAAAGTCAGAGTGATGGTGTGCCGAGTCACGCTTCAAAAAGATCGTCTTTTTCTCTCGCATTGAAAATTAAAACCAGAAACAAACAAACCGAAAGAAAGAAAAAGTTTTAAAGTTTAACGCTTTGGGTATTTAATTTTTGTTGTGCATCAGAAGAAACAACAAAGAGAGAAAAGCGCTTCTCTATTCCTGCAGACCGAGTTAGTCTATTATGAAAGAGAACATGACTTCATGTATGGATGAGGACCAGAAGACTCTTTCTGAAGGTTGGAAATCCTGATCTCAAACTAATTTGGTGAAACTGTCAGGACTCCTGCTGTGGGAGAATGATATCGCTGACACAAGGTAACTGGAAAGTTGGCATTATAAGCGTAAACTGGTCTGAGGTCGAGAATATCATCCAGGACAACACAACCATCATTGGCCAAGTACAAATCTAACTTTAGCAAAGTAAAAGACAATTATAACAACTTACGTCACTGAAAGTCCCTTTTGTGTTTTGCTAATACCTTCTCTAGAAGCTAAAGGGGTTCCTGTCAGTGGGGTTCCAATTTATAGGTCCTGTGGCGCTAAATCAACAAAAAGAGGAGGGGTTTCCAAGAACTATGAAAAGTTCCTGGGGTCTGTAATCACATGACGTCCTTCTCTCTGATTGCTGCGAAGCTTCACCAGGCTCTTCTTTTCTGGTCTGGTGTGTTTCCACTGGGATATAACTGGTATTTACTATGACAAACATGCCTGACTGAACACTGTTGATAAGCGTATTTGATAGTCCTCATTTTTGACGGCTTATTATTAAAATGCACTCCAAAGAAAAATGCGTTTTCAGATTCCAACATCCTTTAATAATCTGCCAGTGGAGGTTGTTTCCGCCTGTATCCACACACTGTGGTATTGCCGTGTTATTTCAGCACTCAGCAGCTTCAATTTAGCACATATTACTCTCCAACCAGGACTAAAAAAGAAGAATCTTTCTATTAAAGTACTTTCTGAAGGTAGAAGAAGTAAGTCTCTGAACGTCTCCTAGAAAACACCGCTCTACAGTTCAGCTCATTCTTGGCAATTTACTGCATTTCCAGAGACATTAACTTAAAGTAGCTAAGACAGAAGGTTTAAAATCTAGACGGTAAAGTAAAATGTGAATCAGTGGAGGATGAAGTGTTGTTGAGGGCATCACAACTAAATGAAAAACCAGACAAACGAGGAGAGAAAGCCACAAGAAGGACCAGGAAAAGGCAGCAGCTGCAGCGGCGGCGCCTAAACCCTGAGCCTCCATGTGTGTCCAGGTTCTCTAATGAGCACCTGCAGAGACCGAGCAAACCGGTCAATTACAGCCCCTAACAAGACAGCACTACAGGGGTCATCACAAAGGACTGCAACCACTGCAGAAGCAATCATGCCTACAAAAACCTGACCAAGAGTTCTGATGAAGGAGAGGTGCTGAAGTTCGTACCCGAGCCAGCCCTGAGGACCGGCGACAGTGGGTGTTTGTAGAAAATAGAAACACACTTGAGCAGTGAGGGGAAAAGTGAGGTTGTCCTTTCTGTTGTGAAGAGAATCCTGCCAGACTGTCAAAAAATCATGCAAGATGTCTTCAAGTGCCCATTTTCAGCTTTTCAAATCTTCCTTCAGTATTTCATGCCTCAGTAAGAACTTTAATTGCTGTCTATTTAGTTTATTGGTACTTGCTGAAAAAGCAAAAAGCAGAAACTGATTATGTGGTTTTATGAACCGTTTAGGAATTCTTAAAACACTTTCTGAGGAAATTGGCGTAAAATAGATTTGCAGCGTTAAACTCCACAGCAGCTTCGTCTCCTGAATACAAACGATGCCTTACTACAGGGGATCTTTCACAGAGCGGGTATGCTTGGTGGTCTCCTAACCTTGAGACACTGAGTCCCACAGTTACGGGTTCTTAAACTATATTTAGTTCACCTCGCAAATAAAAAACAAAAGAGGAGGTGCTGAATGTAATCGAATCCTGTTGAAGGTGAGAGTGCTGCAGGAGAGAAGACTGACAGAGAGTGAGAAAGAGGGAAGAGGAGGGAAAAGACTTCTCAGACAGACGCATTATTCAGTCTTGGAGGCCGAAGTGGGGAACAGATGATGCTGGAATGACTGCAAGCAATAACAGGGCTCGACATCAACGAGATCAGTTATGCAACTGAGTTACTTTTTGAAATAAATAGTTATCAAATAATGGGTTAAAGTGTGACGTCAAAATTCTGTCTAAAATTATACAGAATCTTGTCGGTTGAAATTAGGTCTAAAAACCAGACTTCTAATAGCCGTCTATTTCTCAGTGGGTAATTTCTTAAAAATGGCTGTAAAAGTGAATTTAATGGACTTGGTTGATGATGGAAAGGCTGAAGCGGTGCTGTAAAACACTGTGTGAAAGGACCTGTCCTGTTCCTTAGTGAAGGGCTGATTGGTTCAGTCTATCTGAGACTGATGGCCTATCTGAAATCAGCTCGACTTCCCTGCCAGCAACAGCGAAAATGAGCTGGCGGATGGTCGACTATTAGTTTCTCTCTCGTGGGTCACAATCTGCACAGAGCCTGATGCCATCTGTCCTTGGACCACTGAAGAATAAACAATGTTGCACGCTGTAAGACTTTGAGATGACAAGAACCAAATGTCGACCAGTTACAGAAAGTGTTCAGACACAGAAATTATGGAAATAGACACACAGCTAGTACAAACTATTGCTGTCTTTTGAACGAGGTTAAAATCTCCAATCTGTGGGGAGGAAAGAAGGATATAACCACCTCCAAAGATTTTAGCATAACCAGAAAAACACTCTAAAAATGGTTATTTAAATTCTTTCTGCTCTGAAGTGAGCATCAAGCTGTCTGCTCAAAAAGAAATGGAGCTGTTGGTTTTGAATAAATTCGATATGACGGCTTCTCAAGCTTCACAAAAGTTTGCAGATTGAGTTTTGACTTTCTCTCAAAGTTAATGGAACAGAGAGTGAAATGAGCCTTGGCATGGGTGTCACATTTTCAGAGCAGAGACAAGCGACTGACATCTTTGCAGTAAACACACTCAGAGAGTTCAGGCTTCACAGGCAGAAATCACAGCATGATAAAACCCTCATTTGTTCTGTTTTGAATATTTTCCTTAAATACATGAAACATTTTATTTCCTCGCTCCGACTGCAGCTCGGCGTTTTGGTTTTATTCTGGAGCAGGGGAGCCGAACAGTTTTGGACCAGCTGAGACAGAGGGATTAAATAATTTGTTCTTTTCATGTGCTGCATTTAATTTTCATGGGTTTTATGAAAACCCTGGGTTAGTAAAAGCACACTGTGAATTTAGGGAAAAGCACATATTTGGAAGCATTCAAGAGACCGAAGGTTGGTAATTATGTTTAAGCACTTTAAAGCTTCATACAAGAAGAGGTAATTACGATTTTATGACTGCAAAGAGTAAAATTATAAATGTGTTTTGTTTGTTAGAGAATCATTTAATTCATTGTTGACAAAAATGATCAAAATTTGTCTCCTATAGGATGACAAGCCAAGAAATGACCAGAATATACGACCATCTTTGCTGTAATAAGTGACAGTAATCAGTTAAATTTTAAAAAAATGTAAAATTAAATCTAGAAAAATTAAATTTTGGATTTTCTATATTTACTATGTATTTGAAGTGTTAATTTTTGTTTTTTCAAAGTTATCCGCCTCGTGTTTTCATGTTTTTTAAAGCACATTATGCAGATGACACCCTTACTTATCTCTATCCTTTCACTGAGCAGCTACACTCAGAAATCATCGCTAAAATCATCACTAATGGTCTGAAATCTACTGCAAAAAGTAAAATTATAACTGAGTTTTGTTTGTTAGTGTATCATTTAATTCATTGTTTACAAAAATGATTAAAAATTAGACAAAAGCCAAGAAATGACCAAAATATTTGGCTATCTTTGCTTTGTAATGGCAGTAATCAGTTACATTTTGTATGAAACTGTAAAATTAAATCTAGAAAAACTAAAATTTGGATTTACAATATTTACTATGTATTGTAGTTATGACTTTTTGGTTTTTTCAGGGTTATCAGCCTTGTGTTTTCCTAATTTTTTAGCACATTATGCAGACGACACCCTTATTTATCTCTATCCTTTCACAGAGCAGCTACACTCAGAAATCAACACTTATATCTCATTTAGGCTCATTTTGCTTCGTTGCCTTTAGTCCACCTTGCAGCAGACAAAGAGGTAGAGTTGAAGTGGACTTGAAGTCTCAAAGCAAACATATGCAGCCCCTCCGTTGGTCAATTTAACCATAA